TTATGTTGAGCTTTTGGCTTTCATGTTTGTAGTTTAATATTTCTGAAAATTTTTCTTCTTTATGGCAAAAATGCCTTTATAATGTTCATTTCATATTTATTTAAATTTCCTTAAAATTGTTCAGTACTGTGTTCACACTAGCTGTGTTTATATTACATTCTATGTTAACACTCAAAATAATACATTTTGCCTTCTTTGAATTTATTTCAATGAGTGAAAAAGATGTTCTAGAGTTATTGAACCATATGTTTCAATACTTGCAATGTGTTTCTTTTTAATTTCTATTTCATGAGTTCTTTTTATCATTTGTTCTGACTCGGAACAAAAATTAAGAATTTAGGAAGTGCTGCAAAAATTCCCAACAACTATAGAGAATGCATAAGGATACAGAAACTCTCTCACTTCTGCTCACACATCCAGTTCCTCTGTGAGGTGCACCAACAGGGAAGCAGCTCGTTCCTTCCTTTCACTTTGCATTGTGCCTGTAAAAAAACCTATGCAGTTTGGAATGGTGTTTGATCAGGAGCCTGTTTACAAAATAAGTGTCTTCTAACCTCTGCTGTAAGTCATGCTAGATGATTTTTCTGTTTCTGAAGCACTTGGAGCCAATGTTTCCTCTTTGAAAGCCTGTACTTGGCATTGATTCCCCTATAGTGAACAAGTGGTCATTTAGGGATCCTTTTTTTTTTGTACCATTTTTAATATTCCATCTATAAACTAATTTGGCTGTACATTCCCACTGCTTAATCTCTTCTAACCATGATTGTCCCATGATATGCAAGGTTACAAAACTAAGAAGTAACACCTTCTAATACATGACCTTCAACAACTGACCCTGTAGCTATGCAAGATCTTCTCTTTCTACAGACTTTTAATTATCTCTTCAGTAAGTAGTCTTTTGAATGATCTTTAGTATTTCTTAATTTCTCTCTGCTGGGTGCCATTTCCTGCTGTTTTACAGGAGAATTTTAAAATGCCCTAAAGTTCCTTCAATGTTTACATGTCTGTGAACAATCCAAACTCATAATACTCATCAAAATGCCTAGAATTCAACAGTGAGTGTCTACTTTAGAGGTATTAAACAATGATAAAATAAATTCCCTGGAAGGTGTGGATGTTCAGTGTGTGATTATTGAAGATATTCCTGACTACTTATCCAAAGACACTCAGAGTTTGATCCTCTATCTGCCTTGACTCTGTGGCATACAGCTACCACAGAAGCCCAGCAAAGAGTTTCCCTCAAAAAGGGGAACCATTTGTAATTTTCTGTGGCAGATCTTCATCTTATGCACATCTCCTGCCAAGGAAAGAGTATAGCAGGGGATGTCAGGGAAAAGCCACAGTGTGAAATCACCGAGTGCCAGTGATGTGCTACAAGGTACATTGACCATCCCAAGCCCAGACTTTAGACTTCCAGTCAGTATTGGTCATGTCGTGTGAAGGGCTGGCTCTCAGACCCAGCAGCAAGAGAGGTTTTACTCTACTTTCTGGTCCAATGATCTGATAGACTAGAAGTATCATCTCCCATGCCTTCATCCAAGAAGACAACTAGAATAAAAATGCTACTGATCCATTAGGGCCATTTATTATACTACCTGAAATGGCAGCAAAAGCCAATGAGTTCTCTGGAAAACACTCAAGATACACTGCTTGAGTGTCACTGCTTTACACAGAAAAGTCTTCTGAATGTGCTTTTCCTCAAGTTGGACCTGTATTCTCATCTCTTTCTATTGAGAAATCATCCTTTGGCAAAGACAGCTGGAGAGTCTCCCAGTCTGTCTTTAACTTCATTCATCTTTCATTCCTCACTGGAACTCCAAAAGTTTACTTTTTATGAAAGGAAAAATTGGATCTTTTCTCCCTTCTGACAACTGCAGATCCTGTAATACACATCCAATTGCCCCTCTCTTATCTGGGTCAGCTGCTGGGAGACCTCTGGAACTCAGAGATCCTCCCTCATAATTTTTCCTGTTGTTCTATCAGATGAAAAAAAATTGAATTGGGCACTGAAGTTCAGATTCTGTAGGTCAGGTTTAAATTAATTGCCTCAGGGGTCATATTTTACAAATGAAACAAGAATACATACCTTAAGTGATGAGTCATATGCATTGTGCAATGGATTATTATTCCCTTTGGAATTTATTTATGCTTGTGAAATGTACCATAATTTTTATCTTTTCTTCCTCACGGTCTTCAGATGTAGATTATAGTCACGAGAAGGATGTAGGCTTAGCTTTTAAAGTGAATGTACTTTAAAGCTTAATTAAATAAAAGTTAAAGGTGCTGGGTGATAGGCAGTATTTTAATTGAGAAGGCAATAGATTGAATTAGGATTTTTTTCTTAGAGATCCTCAATCCAATATTTCATGAAAACCAAACTGTCATATTCTTCAATTGCTAAAACCAATTTCAAGGTAAAAATGTCATGTCAAACCATGTACCAATAAGGGCATTGCAAATAAGATTTTTCTTGACCTTACCAATCAGTCACATTGCATCCCTTCCAAAGAGTATTATTAGATTTTTATCATTTTCTGAAAGCTTCTGCTTCAGAGACCAGCCTGATAAAGTAAAGTACTGATTCTAATAGATAGCCACAAACAAAGTTATGAATACCACTGCTATTAATTTAAGGGACATCACTACTCTACAGTAGATAAAGAGTCTTATGAATTTACATTAATCAAATAAATATAATGATTATTTGGGACATACTTAGCTTCATAATTATATATATATTAGTAATCCCATTTTAGAATCGACACAATATGATAGGTAACCTTACAAACATTCATATATCATGGAAAAGTATGGCTTGATCATCCATTATACTAATGACACATCTTATTATTACCATACTAATTCAAATTAATTTGTAGATCCATGTAATAGAACAAAGCCTGGTGTATAACAAGGTATTCAAAAGAATAGTGTAATAGTGTAAGCAAATGGAGCAAAAATCTGCCTTTGTCTTGTGTCCCACAGTTTACCATACTGTCATGGGGCTTGCACAACTATTTCTGAATTTCTGCTAGGAATCTAAATGGGCAGTTAGATACACAGGTGCAAGTCCCATTAGCATCACTAAGAACTGCACCAAGTTATTTAACTGAGTGCCGAACTCGCAGCTCACAGACACGTAAGAGCTCTAAAACTGAAGTGCTCAGAACATGGAAAATTTTTCCCTTGGCAGATTCAAGATTTAACAATAATACTCACAGAAACATAAATACCTGTGGTGATAACAAAAAGTGCTGATTTGTAGACAGCTGATTTAATATAACTGATATAGCCTGAACAGTTATGTCACTGATTTGAAACAGCAAAATAACATTGCATTAATTTAAACTAATTTCACAGCTCCTTCAGGCAGCATTATATAATAAGAACCAATTTAATTTGAAAAACAAAACAGAAAAATACACATTTTGACCTTCTCTGGATGCACAAAGGTATTTGAGAGGATTGTTGATTTTCCAGGAAAGTCTCTTGTAGAACAAATGTAAGATTTATGATGACTAGGAGCTTAGCCCCATTCTTACTGTGGCACATGTCAATCCCAGTATTTATATTTTTTTAAAAAAGAAAAAGTTTAATCTGCTCTCAGGACACAGTGTACAGAGAACTACTTACAGAAGGTTTATACAGTTGGAAGAGAAATACATCTGTGGAGTTGAAGTAACTCTGTTTGTGCCAGAAGTTCTTCAACCATATCCATGGTAGGCGGCATGAAAGGGAGGCACAGAGAAGGGAGTACATGATACAATCACAAACAAACCACTCTGCAGTTCGTGTGATGCTGCCCAGCACCCACCATGCCTCCTGCTGATGCTTGTAGATGTGCTGTTGATACTATAAGCAGAGTAGTCCTGTAGAAACCCTCACATTCAAGAGAGAGTTGGCTCTTCTAGAGCAGTGTTAATCTAATTAAAGCTGTTGTCTAAAATGGATCAGATGAAACCCCTTCTAGGTGAGCTTTTGTCCCTCTGTCAACTGTAAATGTGATTTAGACAAGTCCTGTGTCAAGGCAGGGTGGGATAGAGAGAAGCGCCATGGCCAGACATTTCACACTGGATCATATCCCCGTGGCACGAAGCATCCTCTGGCAGGTCTTCTGATCATGAGGTGCACCAGCAGCTTTCCCTCAGAGAAGGCCCTCACAAGGAATAGTGGCAGAGTGAGGGGCAAGTGTGTCTTCATGCCTGTTGTCAGGCAGCTCCTGCGCTGCAGTGAGGGGCAAACATCTCATCCCTGCTGGTCCGAGATACAGTGCAGAGCATGTCCCACAGTCAACACTCTCAGCAGGGACTTGCTGAGAACCTAAGCAACAAGTGACACACACCTGGGCCCTTACATATACATTTTTAGAAAGAAGATAGACTTTGCTGAGTTTTTGTGGCCCAAGATCCACAGTGGCTTTGGCTCCAAAGCACTTTCTCACAGAGTCCATAGTGCCTTTCTGGAAACATAGCGAATTAGCTATGCCATGGGTAAACACTGCTTTACTTCTGTTTTCCACCGTTTCAGTCAAATTTGTTAGCTTTTACCTTGTCCTCTGGTCTCTTACTTTTGCTCTGGTAGTGAAAAAGGAAGAGAAATCCATGTGGCAGTCACTGTGACATAAGCTGGGTAAGCTGAACTATGCCTGCTCAGTACATCAGGCTAGCCTCCTGATGGTCCTTGGCTTTGGAAATCATTTTCCATTAATTATCTGCAAAATATTTACTTTAAAGTGCTGTGAACAATCAGGCCAGGAAGCTTGTTTACTTGAACATTTCCTCAACAAGAGTGCAAACACCATTGACGTGAAGTTTTTATACTTTTCTCCCAGCTCTACATAAATGCTGTGTTGCGCTGATGAGGATTTTGCTTTGGTTAAAGAAGAACAAGACCCTTGGTGTTTATTTTTTCAGTATTTGTGTATTGTTAAAGAAAGTTACGTTAATCACTAACTTCCTATGCATCTACGTACTACAATTACCTCTTTTTTTTTCTTATAGGCATGTAGCCACCGCTCTAGCTCAGAGATAATCTGCTGTACAACACCTTCACTGAAAGTTTTCAATCTCCAACCACCCTTTGTAACCAAAGTGTTCTTTATTTTTGATGGTGTCAGCTCCCTGTACTTTGATTTTGATTATGTAAATAATCCAGTATTTAAGCATTTTGAAAAGCCAGTGTTCATCTCAAGAGGCAACCAAAATGTTCTGGAAATTAAGGTAAGAAATGCTGAAATAAGTTTTTCAATTATTCACAAGTGCACATCAGCAGCACAGTGTGGAACAGACATTTTGATGACATAAGCCCCAAGGAAGCAAGGGCAGAGAGAGCACTGTGTTTGGTACTGCATTCACCCAAGCCCCCAGTTGTCACAATTTAAAAGATGCAGAGCTGAAAACAAAGATATATATACCAGGGTGGTTGGCATCAGGTGGAGTTGGAGAGGGGCTTTCCTCGTCCTCGTGGAGGACCACACTGCATCAGCTTCTGATTGCAATGAGCTGCGTCACCAGTTCAGGATTAAACATGGCCAGCAGCCCAGAGCCTGAAGTATGTGGCCTGCACCCGAGTCCCAGCTCATACTGTCACATGGTTTTGTGTCCTTCCTCACAGAAGATGTGGCCTAGCAGCTTTGGCTCTCTTGAGCTGAGGGAAACTCTGGCCTGTGCACAAAGTCACTCATGAGGATCAGTCACTGCTGTAGCCTAAATATTTATGGACCCGTGAAAAATGCAAAGTTGGTGATGAATGCCTCTTCAAAGAGCATTGAGAGTAGCCTACATGGCACTGAGAAACATCTCTTAGGAATTTGGGGCCCTTACAGGCACAGGCTGCTCTCTACTACAGTACTGCGAAGAAAGTTAAATCAATTTTGTGTGAGTCCAATTTTTTGAAATCTAATGCTTTTCTGAGTTTAGATTAATCAAATAGAAAAGGTATAAATATGGGCGTTTCTAGTTTACAATGAATGCTTATGAAAATCTGTTGTAAAGTACACATAATTTATATAAATTTCTATAATTTATATAGAATATAATTGATAAAAAATGCTTTATGGAAGAGAATCAGTCTTAATGCTTGGGTCATCTCTTTGTGTAGCTCCTGCATAGCTCTGTAAGCCAAAACTCTTTTCCCCTATCACAATGAAGAAATCTTGATAGCCTGAGGTCTTTGACTCCCAAGATGGTCCAGTGGGCCAGTTTCTGGGCTGCCAGACATCAGAAGGATCACTGCAGAGCTCCTGTCAGCCATGCTGACTTCCAGTCAAACTCTGAATATTAATCTGCCTCTGCAAAGTGTTTTGGGCAAATACCAAAGAATAATTGGTCTGATTTTTATTTTTTAATTTTGTTTTTCTACTTGGAGCTCTTGGCCATACAATAACTCCTTCCTCAATGCAGAGCAGTTCTCATGTTTAGTTTTGGAGGAATGCTGGATAGAGTTCTGGTGTGTAGGTCAACGGAGATCTGGGAATATAGAGCTGCTGCATGGCTCAGTGCCTCTGTGCAATGACAGCAGTGTTTTCCAGTATTTTCCAGGTCATGCATATCAACCAGTTGGAAAGAGTACTAATTTGAGAAGAATCATAGAATAACATAGATTGGAAGGAACCTCTGGAGATCTTCATAGTCTAACCCTGTTGCTCAAAACAGGGCTAAGTTAAAAATCAGGTCAGGTTGCCTATGGCCTTATCTAGATGAGTTTTGAAACTCTCCAAGAATGGAGATTTTACAGCTTTAAAAAACCCAGCTCCACTAGCTTTGCATTGTGTATCCTGTGCTTCAGCTCCCCTTCTAGCTCAGTGGCCCTCTGCTGTACTTCATCCAGTTTGTCAGTATCTCTCTTATTTGATGGGGTTAAAAACTTGACACAATTCTCCAGGTGTGGCCTTACAAGTGCTGACCAAAGCAGAACAATCACCTTCAATCTATTGGCTTTGCTGCTGCTAAAATGTGTGCCGAACCTTCATCACTACAGTGGCATACTGCTGCCTTATTTCACATTATGACCCAGTATATCAGTGATTTTCCTAAACTTGTTGTCATCTGAAAGCTCAAAGAAGTGCATTCTATCCCTTTGTTCAGGTTGTCAATAAAGATTCAATTAGTGTTGGTCTCAGTATCAGCCTTTGACAAATGCCACGTGTTAGACTTTTAAGGTTTGACCTATGTTAAGTAGGTTTTTCATTCACCTTATAGACCATCTATCCAGTTCATACCATCCTAATTTGTTTTCATTGCTAGGAGAGATTGTGTTGCAAAACTTGCTAAAATGAGGATCCTTTTGTCCAGTGCTCATCTTTCATCTACAGAACCAGTCATCTCTGCATAGAAGGCTGGTCAGACAAAATCCACTCTTGGGAAACCTGTGCTGGCGGTTCCCAATTACTTTTTTGTCCTTACTCTGCCTGGAAGGGCTTCCCTGAGGACTTGCTCCATAATCTTCACAGAGACTGAGAGTTAAAAACTAGTTGGGTTTTTTAACTTCCTTCTCTTTTACTTGTGAACTTTGTATTCTCCCTGAGGAAAGTCTCTGGTACTGTTTTATTGCTGGGAAGAAGCCATTTAGATGGGAAAGGCTGACTGAGGACTGTCCTAGTGACCAAACTCACAATTTTGTGGCATTGACCTGTAGTCATGGCACCCAAGACAGATGTCTCCCTAAGCCTAATGTCCTGGTTATTTCCTAGCAACCATCTGGAGAATAGCATTAGTGAAAACTGGTCTCCTGGAATGAAGCATGGACAAGCACCAATTTAACATCTTCCTCTAAATAGAATTAGTTATAGTGGGGTGCTTCTATCAAAACAGTGAGGCAACTTCCATAAATTATAGTCAGGAGCCAAAAGATCATTACAAGCCATATTGGCAACACTTTTCCCTCACCCCGTACCCACATTCAAAAATACACACAAGTTGACATGCCTCATGATTGTATTTTGTGCAGTAATTAAGCAAGCTCAGCATGAAATTAAATGGCAGCTTGCTTCAGCGAACAGTCTGTTCTACCAAACCAAAGTTCTTTTATCTCTTTCTTAATTAGTTTCAGGGGGGCGGAGGGAGCTTTTATCACAAGTTTTTCAATCTAACTAATCTAGTGTGACATATTTGGCTTTCATCAAATGACAGTGGGTACCGATTGAAAGGTTCTGTTTGGTTTCCCCTGATGACCACAAGATGTTTTTGTAAGAAAATGTTACACACAAGAACACTTTAGGTCTTCTATTTAAAACACAGGTCACTGTGTGCCACAAATACCAAACCTCCTTGTCTTCAGTGCCAGCCACTCAAGGTCCTACATCATCACTCTCTTCCTTTGCCAAGTATGTGGGTCTTTGAAGTTGCTTGGTGCCCACCATCCCCCAGTCAGAGGGGTCGTGACAGAGTGGCTTGAGACACTTCTCTGATTCAACACCATGAAGACACCACTTCAGAAGTGCTCCCATCTCCTGCCAACATGGGAAGCTGTCAGGGAGGGAGAAATTCTGGTGTTTCACTGCTGGGGACAGTGAAACACCTGAGTCTGTTGAAGAGGACTGAGTATACTTGCTGCCTCTGGCAGAAGCCACTGACCCGGACCTGCAAGCTGGGCTGCTGCAAACCCAGTGCATCCTGGCTGTGAAAAAAACCCAATAAGAAAAGAAACTTTGTCTTTCCTCAGTCTGCCCAAAGCCTGTCCTGTTCTAGGGTGTGCTTATGCACTAAGCTGGTGCAGGGACTTTGTGCATTATTCCAGAGGACACCTAGGCATAGACCACCGGTAAGTAAAGTGTATTTATAAATATAAATCTTCCACTAGAGAAATACGTAACAACTGGCATGTTACACAGCACATCTGAGATCTTGGCTGTCCTCTGGCCCTTTTGTATTAAAACTCCAAGGAGGACAAGATTTACTAAATTGCCCACTCTATTCCTAAGCCAGTGCAACACATTCTTTATAAGACAATCTTAAGAAACTCTTCTTGCCTATTTACAAGTCACTATATTGTCAGTCTTCTTCCATCACATAGGAAATTATGTTAGTCTCAATATCTGGTCCAAAAGAGAGCAGTATGGAAACCATGGTATTTTTGAGCAAGCTGAAGAGGAACCTCTGCAGCTGCAGTCACTCCTCATTCTTCCCAAGTAAACCCTTTCTCTCTGCTTAGGAACCTCAAAAATTCTTCTGACACGAATTTGAAAATTTCCACACCTTAGTTTACGGTTCTTCTACTGCTTCTAAACTTCTACCCAAATTATTCCCAACTCTCTAAAGTTGTGAGGTAATTGAGCTATCAGATTGGTTTGCAACAGCTACTCAGTCCAGTAATGAACTTCTCCAGCTTGCATGCAAGGGCATTGCTCACCAAGAAGGGGGCAGTACACATTTTAAAAGAGGACGTTCTCTTTTTTTCCCGGTTCTCACAGGAGCCAGTTTCCGCCTTCTTTTAAAATTTTAGGCAAATTCTGTTGTCCTGGAAGAGCAAAACCACTGCTGAGTTTTGAAACTCCTAATATATTGAGTTATCCTAAATGAAACTATAATATACTAATGGTAACATAATGGTAATAATATTAAGTAAAAACTACCATCATCTTTATAACTGGCTAAGGATCACCTTAGGAAACATCAGTAGGATTTCTTGTCCATTTGGGTAAGTATCAGTTTTGATGGTGCAAAAAATTCTCAGGTATGGTGTAGAAGAATCATAGAATCACTCTCCAAGACAATATATTTATCCTGAAGATGAAAAACTTAAATTCAAGTCTTTTGAGGAACATCATTCAAAGGAAAGATTTGAACATGAATGGCTCACGATCTGCAGCAAGTCTCCATACTACTAAGCAATAAGCAGTCAGTCACATGCTCTTTGGCCCATTGAATATTTACTTAACATCAAACAGAATGTTTCCAAGTAGAGGATAGAGTGCAAAATGGACTTCTATGGACAGCAATTAAAAAGCATTTACCTGGGGTGTGGCTTTGCCAGTCAAAATAGGACATTAAGCTGGCTCTCCTCTATGTTTATTACAATTTCCCCAGGGTTGAGTCTCACTCTGCAGTAAATCTAAAAAGCCAAAGTAAGATTTTTTTGCCCCTCAGAATGGAATTCTTGTTTCCTTTCCAATATACAAGGTCTCATAGCCATGTCAGCTGCAGCGCCTTCTCTCCCTTCTCATGGAAAACTCCCAGATCCAGCTCACGTAAATAGCCTGTATTAGTCCCACACTCCCTTCTCCCCTTCTAATCCTGCTTAATATACCTCTTTGTTCATCTTAAGTCAGGTTGTACATGGGGTAGGGCAGCTTCTTAAATTCTGATGCACTCCTGAGCACAAAAGATGCTGAACTTGGCCTTTGAATGCCACTATCACAATACTGGAATAATACAGTGAATAATTTTTCATCCAAGTGTGGGATATGAAAGCAGGTTTTCTGAGTAGGGACTGCACTTTTCATGCTCTCGTCTTTACCAAGGTTTATTCCTTTTTGGTCTGTGGAACATGATTTTAACAGATTTGTGTATTATTACAATTAATGACTTCTTTTTGAAAGCTTCACTACTGCTACCATAACCACTTGCAAAACAAAATGTTTGAGATGCCTTTAGCTTGTGGATAATATAATGCCAGTTTTGTGTAAACAACAGTGTTACATAATACGTCCTTTCTTGAGCAAATTATGCAAAAATCTAAACAGGACCAACAGGATTAATCCTTCAGACATTTACATTTTTAGAGACCTGTATGGGCTGTATAAGTATTAGTGACAGCAGAATTTATCTGTAAATTTTATCATCCCTCTCTGGCCTGTCTGTCAAAGTACCATTTACATGAAAAAAACGTTATACATGCCTGTTGACAGGACAGTGTAAATTTGCATTGGTCTTTTATTTCTCAATTGTTTTTCCATTAAAAACATTTTCCAAGCTTGTAACTCCTTAACTTTTATGAGATGGTTATGTAATATAAAATTGATTTTTTTTTTCCAAGGGAAATTATATTGATTCAGAAGCTGTTAAAGGAGAGGTGCTAAAAGTTGGAAATAAAAGCTGCGAAAACCTCCTCCTGCAGTCAGAATCAATTCTGTGTACGGTTCCCAGTGATCTCCTGAAATCCAACAGTGAGCTAAATATAGAGGTGAGGCAACTACACCACACATGAGATATTAATGCCATTTTTATTATCATTCACAGTGTCACTATTGAACCAAGAAACTTTTAAGTTTAAGCCTAACCCTGTGCTTACAGAGATATCTCTATCCATGTTTGTTTGGGATGGAAATTCAAATAATATCAGCTGTTTTAAAATAAATATTGTCTTCACTGTAGTTATTACCTGTTTGTAGAGAGAGTTTCTGGAGGCTTTGGCACAAAGTAGAACTTGAACTAAGCACGGAAATAAAATTATAGCTATTAATCCAAACACAAGAGGAAACATATGGGGAAGAATGGGAAGCTATAAAGGAGTAGGTTTAGTTTGGAACTCATAAGCCCTTTTTTCAACAAAAAATTTTGCTGCAGTCAAGAGGATCACATCCTTCCTGAAAGATTTTTTTTTGTCTGCATTTTATAATTTCATTTCAATTCTTTTCATAAGAAGAAAACACTTTGGACAAAAGTTTGAGTTGACCATTTTTCTAAAGGTGATCATACAGTGTGCTATTGCAAATTTAAATTGTAGACATACTGATTCATAGAATAAGACAGATCTTTCAGTATCTTTGTATTTTTTAAATATATAAAAAAAGGAAAATCCCAGTGGAATAGGAATACCTTTAAACTATGAAACTGAACTGTGATTCACTGAAAACAGTGAATGTAAGTCTGATTAGGATCAAAGTCTAGGTAAGCTCTTTGGAGCAGGGACCATCTATTTTTTCTATATCTTTATGGCATTCATGTCAACAGGATCCTGAACTGTGAATGATATTCCTATTTGCTACTGCAGTCTAAGTAAATAGTAATAACTCATTTATTAATATAGTAACTATTAATTTATTTTAATATTAATTTCTATTTTAAAGTAATTATTAAATTTCTTGAATACATCACTCAAACTATAAAATTAGATGCTGCTCTTCTTTTGGTGTATGTTTCCCAGAACTGTAAGTGCCTAGTTTCATATGATACTTTTGCACAGGTTGCATTTGGTTCGTATTTTCACATATGCAACCAGAGCTGACACTACATTTCACCAGTTCTACTATGTGATATTTCATTAAACTCTAAGAAATAGATATGCATGACAGGTTTCATACATAGAAAAGAATAAAACATAAAGGGGTTAAGTAAGGTTTTTGCTTGTTTACTGGCAAGGAGACACAGAAATTGCAGTCTGCCCAGTGAAGAAGAAAATTTGCTCTTTTGACGGGCAAATCCATCATTACAGTACCCAGAGGAATGAATTCCACAGGAGGAAGAGAAAAGATGGCCAAATGCATTCCAACTGACTGAGCTAGTGCTGTGTGACCTAAAACAGTTTTTCCCTGTTAGCTGCTTGATGTTTGTTTGGTGGTTGATTTTGGGGGTTGGTGTTTTTTTTGTTTTGTTTTGTTTCTTTAAACTGTCAACAAGCTAGAAGCTGGCTAGGGACAGGCTCACATGACCTTGGGAACTAAAACGTAGGCACGCTGTCAACAAATGAGTGAGTTTGATGTTACAGCATATTTATGCCAGAAGGACACATATTAAATACAGTTGGGCTGGTTTTTTAATGTACATCTCAGGCCATATATCCATAGGCCCATACATTTCCATGTACCATTTGAGTAAGAGTATGAATTTAAAATTTTGAATTAACATCTGGTAACAGTGGGACCCTGTTACCTAGAGTGTGTGTGAGTGCATGCCGTGTGTGTGGTGTATCAAATACACAGCTGTATCACTACCAGAGCTCTTGAAGTTGAGTAGTGAAGTGAGAAACATGTAGATCTGCTTTCATGTACAGCAGTATAACAATTTCTTCACTCCCAGTGTCTTACCACAGTACAGCATCACAAAATCAAGATTTAGTTAGATGGGACTTATCAACTCATACTTTAGTACTAATAATCTAGTTCTTACTTGTCTGTGGAAATCATCACACTATTTTCTTTCTTTGTTATTTCAGTGGAAGCAAGAAGTTTTATCAACAGTTATCGGAAAAGTGCTGATCCAGCAAGATCAGAATTTCACAGGACTAATTGCTGGAGTACTTTCAACATCAGTTTTACTTTTTATCTTTTTGGTGTTTTTTCTCTGGAGAAGGAAGAAGAAACAAATTAAAGGTCCATCATAGTCAATCTCATCAAATAAGTCCATTATTATATCTTAGATTTTTAAAAATTACATAATTGTGTGTTTTGCTTAACTACCATGCAATGCCCTGTTGTAATGCATCAGCAGACGTTTCACAATCAAGTCACAATGTTTAGTTGCATGTCAGTGCTTGGCTCTTGCCTGAGCTGGGTGAAGGGGTACATTATGCCTTAAGCAGAAGGATTTCGGAGGAACTCTAAGCTATTGGGAAAACTTAGTAACTTCTGTTCCCCGATCAGCTTTGGAAGAGAGGACGAGTAAATGATACATATGGAATCACGAGTACTTCAGCTTCATCCAGTTGTCTCGTAGTCCTCCAGGCTGTGCCTGAGTTGTGCAAGACACAGAGCACTGCAGTGTCCTGGTCTCTTGTTCACCCAGATCAGGAACTTAGTCAGACCCTGGCTCCTCTCTGGCCCCTGTGTCTGGGTTTACTTCCAGTGGGAGCTGCCACACTGTGCAAGGCAGGAGGAGCAGGGGAGGTAGTATATAACCAAGTTTTGTTCTGATGCAGTATCACAGTCAGACCATGAAGGTGGCCCTAGAAGCTTCAAAACGTCCAGTGTGGCTAAGAGTGGGTCTTCAAAACAAGTTGCAGCAAATCTTGTGCTGTACAAATAGCTCAAGTTCAGGTCCTGAACATGTCTGCCACAGCAACACCCTACCTTCTTCCCAGCAGAGCAGAACATCTAGGTTTAAATAAATAGCTAAATGAATATTGGCATACCAAAACCATGGGGGTTTTCTAGTGTTTCTTTCTTCTCCCCTTCAGATCTGGGAAGCGACCTAGTGCGTTATGATGGCAGAGTGCACACTCCTCACCTGGACAGGCTGGTGAGCGCAAGGAGTGTAAGTCCAACAACAGAAATGGTTTCAAGTGAATCTGTAGACTACAGATCAACTTTTCTAGAAGGTACACCTCTATTAGGAATCTGTACAGATGATATTTTATACATTTTGATTTTCGTATGTCTTCAGATGATAGCTATTTCGATCAGCATCTTAATTTCAATTTGTCATCTAGTTTGTCTGTGTCTGCATTAGTGGGACTCCTGTGTTCACAGGCTTGCTATTTTAACTGAACTTCTCAGGTGCTTCCCAAAACTAAGGTGCAAAGGATTTTTACTTCTACTCAGGTTGGAGGAATATATAAAATGCTATTAGTGGAAACGCTCTATGCTCCACAATTTGTTAGGAGCTAGTGGATATAAGGATTTTGTGTTATCGTGAGTCCATCACGCCATGTGCAAATCCACTCTGAAAAAAATTATTTTAAGGATAACATCAAGTGGCTGTAGGTTTAGTGTGTCTCACTGACTTCATACAGTCATGGTGAAGCAGTTCTGTTGGCCCAACATGGGACATGGAGCTTTGTAAACTGATACTTTTTTGTCGTACGTACGCCCCTTCTGTAAAATGGGACGTTGTATAATGCAGAAATGTTGGCTTTAAAAATTAAGCTAAAAGGTTATGAAGACTTACAAATTGAGTGGAGGTCCGTGTGTGCTGCGATGGTGGTCTCAGGGAGCAATAATCCTATGCCGTACACGTTTTTGTCCTGTATAACACCATTTTAAAGTGGGTATTCTTCAGAAGAGAGTCCGCTACACTTATCATACCACCTTAGGCTGAACACCTCCTTTAAGACGTGGAGACCATGTCCTGTGATTACCATTACTGAGCCTTTAACTATTAGGAGCTACCACATTATGGTGTGTAAGATATCACACGTTTGTTAGTCTTGGTATATACATAGTCTTGTATTATTTAAGGTGCTGCCATATACAACTCAATAGAAATCACTCCAAATCCTTATTTCACCTCTGTAAGCCCCAATCGTGAAGCTGTTTGAGAGACAGGCCAGTTCCCAGCTTCCCTTATTATTCTTTAATTGCTGCCACCAGCTCATACAGAAGTTTCTTGATTGAAAAATTCCCAAAGGAACAGGAAAGCCTGTGCCACTGGTTAGAAGGGAAAGTGGTACACAAGAGAAAACTCTGCAAAGATCCTTGGTGGAAGGTAAATCAACAGTGGTCCTGGGGCCACTGTACACTGGCAAAGCACAGCAGGGAATTATGTTCACTTAATGTCTCTAGCAGTGTTTATGTCAATTCCTATCAAAGAATAAAACAACAGGAACATTAGAAAACATGCAGATTTACATGTAGAAGCTGCAAAAATCATTTTGCAGCCATGTCTGGATTATTTTACTGGCATTATTAAATAGATATTTGCCGTTAGTGACAAATAAACTCATTTGTAAATGTAAGAGTTGGTATTTTTGCTTCTAGATAGAAGAGCACAGTTTTTCTCAGCAACTAGAATGACAACAGCACTATATGAAAATTTTCCACGTTTTGTACAGAAATATATAAAGCATGTCTGTACAACATATTTTACTTGTTGTGATACAGTACTTGATAATTTTTCTTCTTAAATTTATTCACTTTTTTGGTTTTGACCCTAGACTAAATTCTGCTCATTGACTCCACTGGAATCATTCCAGACTGAAATTGCTGTAAATTAAACCTAGTTCTTTCATTCAGTCATGAAAAAATACGAGAAAAATTTTTTTAAACAAAAACTATTTGAAATACCTGAACAACATACTGTTGATAAAAAAAAATTCTCAAATAAATACTCCTGGCTTTACTGAAATATTTTAATTTATGCTATATCAGATGACTCATGTTATTTTCATGAGTAGCACCAACTGTATTATCTTCAGCAGTTACAGGATATGAATCACCTCTAGGCATTTCCCTGGTTGAATATTTACCATTGGATAAATATAGCTAGTCACCAGCAATTTGGAAACCTTCATGAAATGTAAAGTTCCCTACCAAATTAGAACATGACAATAATAAAAGGTTTCATGTTCTTAATTGTTTACTACCTCCTCCTCCCATATTGCTGTCATTTTTCCATTTTACTCTTGTTACTCCCTATTACTAGAAATGCTATAACCTCTACTTGGCAGGAAGTGACAAGTCTTCATTGCATCCCCTCAGAAAAGTGGAAGTTTTGCCATTTACTTTCATAAAAGCAGAGCTGATTCTAGCTAGCTGTCACTATTGTAAGTTTCTAGTGACATAGTTTTCCTGGAGTTTGGCAGATTACCAATGCATATTTTCATTTTCCCTTTGTGACCAAAACTTCCACAAAGCCAAGCCACTTCCAAACTGTTAAAATCAAACCTTGCCTTCCAATGCAATAAAACTTCATTTTCAAGGAGAAATTTGAAAGGATTATAACAGTTTCTGTCCATCTTGCAGATCAGTTTCCAAGCATGTCTCAGAATGGATCGTGCAGACCTGCCCAGTATCCTCACTCTGACCTCTCCCCGATTCTGTCTAGTGGAGACTCAGATTTAGCCAGTCCACTTCTCCAAACTAACGTCCACATTGACATCAGCGCCTTAAATCCTGACCTGGTCAAAGAGGTGCAGCATGTGGTTATTGGTGCTGACAGCCTGATAGTGCACTTCAGCGAAGTAATAGGAAGAGGTGAGTACTGCGACTCTTACCTTGCGAACTGCTCTTCTTTTTGCACACCCATTCATTATAAACCATTTTGAATAAGGTGTCTGCATAGAGGTTTTTCAAGCTTTTTAACTCTTATACCACTGCATCCCACACACTGAAACAAGGGGGAACCAAGGGGCTCTCCTTTAAAGTCAGATGAGGAGTGTGCATTTTATCAGTTGGAGAAGACATCATGAGGAGGAAGGAGTCTGCCAGTTAATGGGGCTCCTTTGAACTCAGAAACTTGCTGGTTTCCCCTCAGCAGTCTCTCTCTCACCCTTTTCCAGGCTACAGAAAAGCTCAGCCAGAGCTCCTGATCTATGAGGCTGCAGTGCAGGAGTGAATCTGCCACAGGATATTGCGCAAAGCCTAAGGCACACACCTAAATGGCAGGGGATGCCAAGGCGGGGGCACAAGTGACCTTAAACTTGGAGTCTGTGATCTGTTGCGATTGCTACATAACACAGGAAACTCTTGTAGTCACTAATGCATTCAGTAAAAGTCCCCGTGGGCCAGGTGAAATGCCCACACCCCTTTCCCTCCACAAGTTTCCCCCAGCTCTGAGGAAGTTGCCGTTTGTTTCCTCCCAGCAAAGGCTCTCCCTTCCCCCTCATTCCTCTCTCATGCCAGCTGCAGGCAGGAGATCCCCATTAGGACCCCCCCCGAAGGATCCCCGTTAGTCGTTCTTCCATACATGAAACATGGAGATCTTCAAAACTTCATCAGGAATGAGACTCATGTCTCATTTACACGGTGAGGTCTACCAAACATTAGTGCAAGTCTCGCCACGCCCTGCTCCAACACCACAGGTTATAGGTTCTCATTCACTTGCCCTTAGTTTTTTTCCTGATACAGCAAGTCCCCTAGTCTTCTAAATTTTTCTCATCACTCCTATTCCTCTACATCTCCGTAAGCAAGTTCCCTTCCTTTCATAGCCCAAGCCAGAATTTCTGTTAGGGACATTTATTAATCTCTGTACAATTGAGTACTTATTAGTAACCAAAGTACAAACTGCATTTTCCATACTTCTACAGATCATGCATCACAGATCTCATGTTGAGTATAAAAATACTGATAAAAAATTGGCTATAAAGTATATTTTTAATCCCTCTTCTGCAGGAAAAGAGCCACAAATCAGTCAGTGCATTTCCCTTCCATGTATTACACTTCATCATCCCCAAAGCAAGGGTGGGCCTTTTTCTTTTTTTTCTTGTTTTGGAAAACTCCAAGTAATTTCCCATTTTTTAATGTTGAAAAATATCAGGAATGACGCCGATATAATTAACGATTTTAAATTTTCTCCTCCATAACTAGAAATGGGCCAAACCCAAAAATATTGTAGACACACCCAATCCAAGCTTTAGGATTTGTGCCCAGACTCCAAGCAATCTGTGGTTTAATGGGATTTTAGTTGCTTCTATAAAACAAACTTTGTATTAATTTTACCTCAAGCCAAAAGCAAAGCCAACTGAGCTCTGACCAGCACTTACGACTGCAACCTAGTAGAATTAATCAGGTAGTCTTGTTCTCTGTAGAACTCACACTTAAGCAGAAGAACTATTTTGCTTTCTAACTGCAAATATTAGTATTTTAAAAGTTTCCATTAAATAGTACATCTGTGAAAGAAAGACACAATTATGTGTGCATAATTTGATTTGGATAAATTTATGCTCAAACCTAGAGCTTAAACTTCATTGTTTCCTGAACAGGTCAACCTGACTTCTCAGAGTGGGTTTCTGTAGACTACCCCATTTGCTTCACAGGAAAGCACAGGATCAGAAGGGATTTCTATGTCCCTGGCAGTTCATTTCACTGCTCAGACCATGAGAAAGAAGGCAAATTTTGCTTACTACCTTTTAGTGACATTTTATGCTTGAAACTAGGCCATAGAAGAGACCACAGACTGCTGCTGAGTGATGTCATCAGTCTGTGATCAGTAGAGCAACTCCCAAACCATCCACAGCCAACACATCACTTTTAATACTCAACATTTTCCATGGAATAGCAGACCTGAGAGACTGTAAGCCCACAATGACCATCCTTTTCACTGAAGAGGCATCAAGTTTGTACAGTCCAGTGGACCACTGGATCTGCATAGGCTTGCAGATCACTGGAAACCACCAATCCAGTGGTCATGTCAGCTCCCTCCTGTCTGCTCCCCGTCCCTTCCAAGTGCCCTCCTTTGACATCTGTCTCACAGGAGATTATGGTGGGAATTGGCTCAAGTGGTATTTGTGTGCATACTCATTAGAAGAACATGAAACATTTGTGGCACCAGCCTTGGCATTATTTATACTCTCTGTTTAGGTCAAGAAATACCAATTATATTGCAAATAGAGTTTTCATTTTACATAATGATGGTTTTATGCAATGATGGTTTTTTGTAATGGTTTTATGTGTTAGTTAGGAAATACATATTACAAGTGTTGGGAATTGGCCAGAAATGACGTGTGATCACTTTCTTAAAGCATAATTGCTACCCAGTGGAAAATACCAGAAAGATAATTTTACTTCTTAAATCTAATATTGCTTACTTTTTTACACAGGACATTTTGGGTGTGTGTACCATGGGACATTGCTGGATAACGATAGCAGGAAAATTCATTGTGCTGTGAAGTCACTGAATAGTGAGTTACATGTTTAATAGTGAGACATTACTATTAATTACAAAGATAACTGGGGTGAACTGATAAATTACAGTGAAGTATACTTTCGCAAACCAAGATTCTTAGTTGCAGCTGAATCAGATTTATCTTTGGAGCAATTCCAATTGCTTCAGATTAACACAAGGCATTGGCATATGTTTTTGTATCAAATGAAATGTCCATATATTTCCTCTACAAAGAAAAGAACACTGGAAAATGAGGGAAAGGCAGTGTAATTTTTTTATTCTACTGTCTACTGAAGATTTGGATTTGGAAGTTAAATTGCTAAAGAGTAGGCAAAGCTGCTGGAAGAACAGGAAGAGACTACAACAACATTTATTAAGGGATTTACTCAAGTGTTGTTATTGAATTTTAAATAATTCATAATAAAAAAAGAAGAAACAGAATTAAAATCACCAACATAACCTGGTTGTATTGTGGGATGTGGGGAGCACACTTGTAGTCTCTCATTATGGCTTTGTTGTGTAATGACATGCTGTACAGAAATGAACTCTATAGTTTGTTTCCGTTTCTTTTCATTAACTCATTACTGGATTTCTCAGGGATTACAGATCTGGAAGAAGTAGCTCAGTTTCTGAAAGAAGGAATAATCATGAAAGATTTCACTCATCCCAATGTGCTGTCACTCCTGGGAATCTGTTTGCCCAATGAAGGATCCCCATTAGTCGTTCTTCCATACATGAAACATGGAGATCTTCGAAACTTCATCAGGAATGAGACCCATGTAAGTACACGGTGAGGTCTACCAAACATTAATGCAAGTCTCGCCACGCCCTGCTCCAACACCACAGGTTATAAGCTCTCCTAATTACATTACGTCTGTAACTTGCTGCTGTTTTTACACCTTAACCTTTAGCACTTGCTTAGGCTGGCATTGAGCCCAGCTACAGCACTGCTACTTCTTCCCTTCCCCCTCGAATTCCTCTCTAGAATGTTTCCCAGAAATTATAAGCAATAAATATTTCTCGTTTCTCATCCATAAGCCTCTTTATAAACAAATGTGTTTATGAGAGCCAAGTCAAGGGGCCCAATCATCTGCTGGTTTAAACTGGCATATCTCTGTTGACTTCAGCACAGCTGTACCAGTCATCACCATCTGCTCTTCCAACTCCTAGGTAAGGGATCTCCATGTCCAACTAGCGTCACGGTCTGTTTATTATCGATATTTTGTATTCTTATATTAAGAAAGAGAAACAGGAATTTTTATACAAACTATGAGTACTCTCTTATCAGAGATCTTCCCCATTTCCATTGAAAAACTGCAGATTCCTCAAATGTGCCTCACTGCTTTTTCACAAGTATGAGACCACAGGTCTTCCCTCAGGTAGTGTAAGCCCACGTTATACTGTAGTATTTCACCTATTTCACAGTGCTAGGACAAAGTGACTTCTGAGACAACAGGATTTTGCCTTGCTCTATGGCAATCAACAATAGCCAGTACAATTAAAACAAAAAAGCATTTTGTCTAATTTTTGGAGGAGTTAAGCTTTCTGAGACAGGGACCTCTTCCCTTTTGAGCTTCTTTCATTCTACAAAGACCAGGGCCCTTTTCTGTGAATAGTGCCATGGTCCTTCTGGAAATAAATAGAATGATTAACACAGTTGAACAAGATTGTTCCACAGAAGGAGCAATGTCAACAACACAAAAATCTGTAGGAACTTTACTATTACATAACAAGTCATATGGTTGGATAAAAGATTTACAGGTTTGTGTTTATACTTATTTGATATTTAACATTTTCAGTATTGTCTTACCATGTAGACCAGCAGAAGGAGTTAACAATCATTGTGGAAAATCTTCCTCTGCTAATTGCTAAGTTCCCATTTGCCTTATTTTGTCCTAGACAGGACTCTCTCATTTCTTGGTCATCTCTAGCTGATGAGCTCCAAGTTCATAGTTAGTACCTTCTACTGAGTTACATGCTATTACTCTTAAGTTCACACATGTGAATTCTGTGTGTCAGCTATGATGCTGTTTCAGCATACTGTTCCACTTACCAGCCCAGGTTATGCTGCTTATGGTGCAAAATCCACTCTTCTGGAGACTGTCAGCTTTTTTGTTTTCTTATAGTGTGTCTTCTCTTTGGAGGTAAGAACTTGACCTAAACTTAAACCAGTTTCATTACAAGCACCAACCTGTCTTGATCATTCTGGTGGCAGGATAGGTGGGGTGTAAAACCTGAAAAGTCACAGCAAAAAGCAGTCTGCTCCTTAAGCTTATGCAGTCATTGTATCACAAATGTTTGTATTTTACAGAATCCAACAGTAAAAGATTTAATTGGATTTGGCCTTCAGGTGGCAAAAGGAATGAAATACCTTGCAAGCAAAAAGTTTGTCCATAGAGATTTGGCAGCAAGAAACTGTATGTAAGTACAAACATCTACTTCCAGTCACGTTATCACACTCTTCTGTGTAAGACAGTGAGATAAGATAAATAAAAGTTTCCGAGATTCTGCTTTTTTTCAGTCAGAATAGGGTGGTTTTTTTCATTGCTCTGTAATTATACTGATGTTTGTCTTGCATACTGATGAGCTACTCATCTTGCTACAGGCTCATTTCTTACACATATGGTTTTTTTGACTGTGAGAAATAAGAAAGCTGAGGTGAAAGTGTAGCATCTCAAAATCATTGGTTAGCGAGTTTAAAAGGGATCTCCTAAGGGAAGTTAAACTGCTGTTGCCTCAACTTGCTGTGCTTCCACCCAACCTCTTCAGAAGCAGCATGTCTCTGCTGCCACACCTAACAGGAGGGAGAGGAACACACAGAACTTTGTGAGAAAAACAGGAACACAGAGAAACACCAGTGAGACCTCTTGACAGTAGCCTTTCATTACATGAGTATGAGCTTACTTTGACTCAACTACACACACAAATTAACATTCAAAGAATCTTACTAGTGTCTGGGTAGCCAGACAGTTCAGTTCGCACAAAGACTAACTGATACAGGAGCTGCCGATATGATTATGCTGATTTATCACCAATGCTGTGAATTAATGAGGTACAGGATTAAACATTAGAGTTTATTTTTAGTATGTCATAAACTGGAACTCTGGCTGCAAAAAGGTCATTAACCTGTGACATCAGATTTTTTATTTTTTTTTCAAAGGGTGCACACTTGTGCAGTTGAACAGCCTCTGAAAAAGAACATCTTCTTACAAGTGCTGTTTTTTTTAAGGGAGGAAAAAAGCCACAAGCAACATAATTTTCAGGTTTCCTAAGAATAAATTATTTGTATTACTAGATGAAAGTCCTAGTTCATCTAATCAAAGTCCAAATAGTGGCAACAGGACATTCCCTCTGGCCTATGTCTCTTCCTTGGGTGAGGAGGGAACAGCTGTCAGGGTGTCTCACATGGCCACTGAATGGCGCTTTTGTACTTCTATGTGGCTTGGCACTTCAGAGCCTGGAAAGCTGCTGCCACAAGAGAACACCTCCTTTCCCCAGTGGCCACATGCAATCCATCACTCAGAAGCACAGGCCCTGCCACAGTAGTGATGTCTATCAGAAAGAAAGCCAGGATGCAAATATAGTCCCCGGGGACTCTAAACTCTATTCCATTATCCTGGAAGAAGGGCAGGAACCTGCTATGGCATAAACTGTGTCCTGTTGACCCATCAAAGTTCCATCTCACTCCCATTACTGGATTTAGTTATAACATCAATAAATGCAGCAGATGGTTATGTTCCATTCAGAGGGACTTCAACAGACTAGAGTTGTCCAGACAGAAACCTCATAAATTCAAGACAGGAGAATGCCTTGTGTAGACCCTGAGAGACATGGGAACATTTAGCATAGAGAAAATTCAGAGGGATCTTATCCATATGTATAAATATGTGATATGGTAGACTGAAGAAGATCTAAGTGGTGCCCCGGGACAGGCCAAGAGGCAGCAGGCACAAATCAAAATAGAGAAAATTGCATTTAAACATAGGAAGAAATGCCTTTATTGCAAGGATGCCTGAACACTGGCACAGGTTGCCCAGAGAGGTTGTGGAGTCTCAATCTGCGCTGATATTCAAAACCCAACTGGTCGTGATCCTGAGCAACCTGCAGTCTCTGACCCTGTTTTGAGCAGGGGAGGTCATGGTGAACTAGATGCTCTTCAGAGATCCGTTCCAACCTCACCCATTCTCTGATTGTGTGATTCTGTAAAGAAGCCCAAAAGCAAGTGTTTGCTATGGCTAGATCTGCACATGTAATAAAGGATAGGTTTAAGCATGCAAACACCCATGCTCTATCCATTTTTTGACAATGATACTCATCATCATCATCATCATCATCATCATCATCATGGCTAGGCTTCGCGAACGAAGATTTGAGGAGGGCTCTACCCACATTTGTTACAAGCGTGACGATGATACTACTTACCAGGACAAACACCAACCTTAGGAGAAGCAAAACCTAGGGATGTCTTCTGGTAGGGCTGAGGTGTAACCCCAGCAGAACTTTTGTTATGCCATCATTCTCTCCCAATACAGGCACCAAACACATCTTTAGTTACAGGACTACATTATTGTTTAGAGGCAGTCACTAAGATAATGATGGACCCCTCCTTATCAAAACTGAGAGTAAGTAGGAAAGGACATGCCTTGACTTGGAAATAAAAATGAGCTGGTTTTAAGGATACAGAAAAAGAAACAGCAGTGGAAGAAATGATGTAGCACTCAATTAGGATGTATAGGCTATTAGCCAAAATCTTTTTATACAAAGCAATTGTTTTAAAGTAACTGTAAGTCAAATTGTGTTATCAAAACAGTATCAGTAATTTCCCAGGTTCATTCACTGTGTTAAATGGGTGTGAAATATACTTTGCTGCACTTTGTGTTTCACTGTTACATTGGTTAATAGATCCAAAATAAAGTACTGCCTTTCAAAGTCAATGCAAGTCATTCATTATAATCAAGCATTTCAAAAATGCAAGTCGCTCATTATAATCCACCATCACTGTAAATCTTGCCTGCTTAGTTGCAAATAATACCTTTTGTCATTTCTCTAGGTTGGATGAAAAATTCACTGTCAAGGTTGCTGATTTTGGTCTTGCTAGAGATGTCTATGATAAAGAATACTACAGTGTGCACAATAAAACAGGAGCTAAACTGCCAGTGAAATGGATGGCTTTAGAAAGTTTACAAACTCAAAAGTTCACAACAAAGTCAGATGTGGTAATGTACAAACATATTTGTATCACCTATTTGTTTCTTTTATATTACCTGAGACATCTTTCTAGTATTTAATAAATGGACTAACTCCAAATCAAAACTTATATTTGAATCTAACTTTAGTTCACATAATAATAAAAGACTGTGTAACTCCAGAAAGTGTATTTGTCCCAGTCACAAAACAACAAGTTGTTGACCTGATTACTTTTTACTGCTCAGGAAAGAATTAGTTTAACCCCGTTCCAAGGGAAACTAAGGACATTCCAAGAAGCCAAGTTGGAACTGAACCCACCTATAGGAGGGGCTCTGGAAAGCTTGACAAAACATGTTAACTTTGAGACTCATAAATTTACTAGTTCTCAAAAATACTTTACTTGCTTTATAAATATTTACTGACTGCCAACAGCAATCTCAAGTATTACCTATCCATTTATGAAGAAAAAATTGTTAAGATTAAGTCATTAGTTGGCAGGATCGCTTTTTATTTTAGCTCTCCTTTCAATCCAGATTCAGATTAGCTTGTGATGCATAGAATTTTCACCACATATATTGTCCTCAGTATGTATTTACGCAGAGTTAGTCAGATCATCAGCTCATGTAAACTGGCAGAGCTCCATTAACCTCAAAAGAGGTCTGCCAATTTATATCAGCAAAGTAGCAGGCCTATAGGCTTTTATTTTCTTTCATTTACTTAGTTGAGATTCTCTAGTTCTTATTTAAGTGGCTCCTCAAGTCCTTACAGCATTTATTAGCGCACTTAAAAGAAAGCTGAATGCAGTAAAATAACTTTTCAAATGAAAAATCCATGCATTTGAATGCTTAAATCTGTCAAACCATCTTCTAAAACTGGAATGTAAAGCACTCCAACCCTGTAACTTACTATTTATTTCTTTGTTTTCTTAGTGGTCCTTTGGTGTGTTGTTATGGGAACTTATGACACGAGGGGCACCACCTTATCCTGATGTAAATTCTTTTGATATAACTGTTTACTTATTACAAGGCAGAAGGCTGCTACAACCTGAATACTGCCCTGATCCACTGTAAGTAAATAGTTTGCAAAGCCTTCTGCAAATGCTGCTGATTCTGATATTGTAGTAATTGAGGCTGTGGGAGGAAAGAGAGGGTTGGGCTCTTTCTTTTTTACATGATTTCGTAATTGCACACTTCTTTTATTTGAATGGCAGGTACGAAGTCATGCTGAAGTGCTGGCATCCAAAACCTGAGATGCGTCCAGCATTTTCTGAACTTGTTTCAAATATATCAACAATCTTCTCCACTTTTGTTGGGGAACACTACGTTCATGTCAATGCTACTTATGTCAACGTGAAGTGCATTGCTCCCTATCCTTCTCTTTTATCATCACAAGACAACATAGATATGGATGTTGACACATGACAGGAATGTCTGAAATAGAGGAAAATCCATTCTTAGTTGTATGAACAAAAAAGCAAAACATTTTGTCCACTAATTTTTACTGCCTGGTCTTTGTGAGAACACTGTTGCACATGTTTATGTTGTTGCCCAAGTTGCACTAGTACAAGGACACAGTATCATATTGTTTAAGGCTATGGGATTCTATAAACCATCACAGTAATTTCCAAGTATTTGGACAACTGCATCAATTTACTAAATGGAAATGTGGTGTACTACCATACAGAGCTAGTTCCCACAAACTGTCATTAATGTGTGCTCAGACCCAAGAACAAAAATTCATCATTAATGCCATGAAGGAGAAAGTAGAATATCAATCATTATGGCTGGAAGGACTATTACTGTGCATGTCTTTTAGGATGATGAGCAGTGCAGAAATGGTTTTCACACAAAAGGCTAAGGCAAACAATGAAAGTTACAAGATTTTAAAATGTATTTTCCTCCTACATGGTGCAAACTTTGGATTTTTACACTACATCAACAAAGTTTCTAAGAACCTAGGCAGCCAAGAGAGCCAGCCTCATGGTGTCTTAACAGAAATCAAAATCAAGAAATGGTGTGCAGTAAAATGAGTATAGAGAAGTACAATTGTGTAGGGAGTGGGTGAGGAAGGCCAAGGCAAAACTGGAACTAAACCTGGCATGGGAGGCAAAGAATAACAGGAAGGGTTTCTACAGGTATGTTAATCACAAACAGAAGGTCAAAGAAGGTGTAACCCTCCTGATAAACAACGGTGGCAAACAGGTAACAACGGCTCTGAGGAACTTGGTCTAGGTGAAGATGCCCCCAGCAGGGAGTTTGGAACTAGTTGATCTTCAACGGCCCCTTCCAACCCAAACCATTCTATGATTTTATATCAGTCTTACCAGTCCTCTGGTGTAGTCAGACGGTACATAAAACAAAGGGACCACCATGTAGCTTAAAGCATTCCTAGTGTCAATGTTACTCCAACGTTCAACTATTTCATTCAGTTGAACAGCGTGTATCAGCAGATCCCTTTCTGAAAAATGCAAAGCCTCCATTTCTTTCAATAAAGAATGAATCACTCTGAGACTAAAAACTTGAAGGCTGCTGTTTGATGAGTCACTTGACGAGCAGATGAAGCTCTGCCACCTAACCTTGGGTGGAGCTGCTGCCACAGGTGAGTAAAGAGTGGAGGTGTTGCCACAGCCCTGACCTAAAAAGACACTGCCATAGCAGGCATATTGATAACTTCTTCATGCCATCTCTGAAGAGCGGAGATGACCGATCAATAGAAATAACTTTAGGCCCCCTTTACCCTCTTCTTGAATCACACAACCCAGTGAATTATGATACCTCCTTTTAATTCTAAATTTTGACCAGAGAAACAATTTTGAAAAGACAGTAAATAAAACCATCATTCATTAGGGAAGAGTACTATAGCTTTAGGGCAAATATCACATGTCATTTCTGTTCCTGTGGAATTCTGTGCATACTACTGTATAGCTTGTTTAGAATAGGATAGAACTGGGTTTGTTGGTGTAAACACATAAAGTAATCTATTTTTATATTAAAAAAAGTTTATTTTTAATGACATTTACAAAGTTTGGTTAGGCCACAAAATGCACTGTGAACATTTCAGAAAATGTAAGTCAATGTACATGATTCATAAATTGTAGCAACCTTAAAAAAATACTATGTAAATATTAAAAAGGAAAAGAACTGACTGTAAACACACTCCACCCTAAGTACAATATCTCCATTGCTGCAAGCCAACCATTTTAAGATCTTCAAAGAGAGGTAGTGCAGATAAAGAACAGATAAGGGGGATATATTCTTCTTGGGAGCCAGTGTTATAACTGAAGGATTTATAATAAGGGCAGAGTGTGTAGGCAACCTATGAGCAGATAATATTGTATTATGTTTCATCATCACTTTCATTTCAGAAATGAACTTTCATGTCTGGTGAGAGAGATACTAATTGTAGATTGCTCAAGGACAAAAGGCTTTGCTGCAGGCAAAAAAAATCATCTCTATGGTTGTTGAAACAGCTAGGGAAGTTTATGACACATAGATTTGGAGAAGTTACTCCAAACTTGTTATGTACATGCTTGAGGAACGCTGCAATGTGAAACAGAGGACATTTTTACTATTTATGAACTTTTGATTAATAAAGTTAATGTTGTGTCTGGGACACCTGTAAGAATATGTGATTCTGGTAAAGATTTGATGTTAGTAAGTTCATATATCTGCAAAGAGCTGAATGGTACTTATGTTTATAGTTGTTGTTACGACCTAATAAATGTTATTAAAATGAATTATTGTAATACTTTATGCTCTGAGTGCTGAAATTACTGTTCATGTTTACTGTTAAGCTTACATGTCTGTATGCTTTTTCTGACTAACATGGGAAGAGCAACCTGTGGAACTGTGGGGTAGAGGGGAAACAACTCAGAAACATAAAAATAGAGTACACCAATAAATCAAACACACAGTTCATGAGCCTCCTACCCATTAATAGGTCAGAGAAAGGTGCAGAGCATTTGTCATCATCAACTATGGCACAGTCTGTTTGATTAGGAAGGCTCTTGCCTAACCACAGGCTGCACCCATGCAGAGCTTTAAAATTCTTGATGCACTTAAGAGTTGGGGTGACATTTGAAACTCAGAATTTAGGTATCATAAGGAGTACTTGCGTGGCCCAGCAAGGATGCCAGCGCTTGCGTTTAGCATCCCAGTCCCTAATCAGTCATGATCCACGAGAAATTTCAACTTATGTCCCTCATGGTCATCCATCTTGTGTTTCATCTCTGCAAGGTGCTTTGTATCTGTGACACCTGGAGAGAAAAGGCATTCCAGTCCCCAGGGACCCTGGTTCTTCTGGGATAAGAGGAGCTAGCCCCACCTTTCTCCCATGCGTTTCCTTCCACTTACCTTAGGTGTCTCCTGCTGAATTCACAAATTCACTTTTGTGAAGAGTATTTTAAGTGGGTACCCCACAAACATTGCAACACACACTGTCCTGTGCTACTCTTAACTCAGATGATACTACAAGCTCATTTCTCCAGCTTCTTATCTCAGGGGAACTTTCGTACTTAACTCACTCAGAAATACTTTATTGCACAATGTCTCAGCTGATTAAAAAACAGAATTTATATGCTGCTGTCATTTCAAAATATCATGCAAACCCAACATCAAAACACATTTTCTCCAGGCATGTTTACTTCTTAACAAAAAATGTATATGCTCAGTTTCAACTCAAAGTATATTTTGGGGAAAAAGTTTGGACTAGATGATTTTCAGAGGTCCCTTCGAAGTCTAACTATTCTGTGATTCTGTGAAAAAAGGCATTGAAAATAGCAGTTCAGGATGGAAACATTCTGCTGCATCACAATCCTAATCCCTTTTTTATTCTATTATTTACATCTAATGTACTTTCCAATACATTTTCAGGATTTCCCTGAAAAGTCAGTAAAAAATCTCCAAGGTTTTACCGCAGACCGCTATTAATACCAGGGTCTTCAGTCTAAACCAGCATAACACACAGTCAAATGATGGCCTGAACTTAAATACCAGATTTGTAACACATTCCTCTGATTACTTCTCATGATTTCTCAGGGATGGTATATATTGCATTTTTGAAAGGGTCAACAGAATCACAAGCTTCCCATGCTCAATTTTTCATCCTATTAATTTTGTTTATATCAGGTACACACTGCAGCAGATCTGCAGCTGACTTAAACTGGTAGCCTTCCCCCCACAGGAATATTAACAGTGGATGTGGCTGATGCTCAAAACATTGTATAACAGGTATCCTACACAAAAGCCAAGAGATTAAAAAAATAGGGAAGGATATCCTCGCCCCACAGAAATTTTCCTACTGAATTCACACCTACTTTTTTTAGTGCACTATAACCCACTGAGAGTAATTTGCCTCTATTAAGGAAGATTTTTTATACAACAAACAATATTAAAGGTTTCTAAAATCAAGAAAAATGGTACACTGTACCTCTGGATTGCTAAGTCTTTGCATATTGCTAATTTTCTGTCTCTGTTAAATTCAGTCATGAAGAAGAGACCTACGTGCTTTATATAAATAAGTGATGAGGTTGCAATTTGGGTTACAGTGGCAGAAGCAGTACAGGTGAGCAACTGCAAAAGCACATCAAAATGAATTTTAAACATGAAGTTCTTCCTTTAGAAATTTCATTTCTGGGATTCAGCTGTAACACTATATCACAGGAAAAGGTCACAGATAGATAAATGAAATAGAGATCCTGATGGGTTTTTTACTCACTAAGCCAAACATCTATTCCTGAAAATTCCAATTTCCATTATTTTTGACAAACAGGTCATGAACTGAGTATTCCGAGCATTGAAGAAAGACACAGGAAATCTTAGGATTATGCCAGACCGATTAGGAAAAACATTTACAAGAAATTGTGATCTCACAGACAGCAGGGAGAATTCAGAGCAACTTTATTGACTCAACGGACACCAACCCAGTGAAAATCAGTCTCTCATCTTGAAACTGTGTGCTCTCACACTGAACCTGAATTTGCCTTTTGTAATCCTCATCCTGCTAACACTCCAGGTGTAATCACTTCCAATGAGGATACCAAAAGACTCTTCTGAGTCCTAATCTTAAGCACTTGCAGCCACTCCATGACCTCCAGGGGACAGAAGAGAAAATATTTCTGTTTTGTAAGGAATGCTGCTTCCCTGGCTGCTGTTACTATTAATTTTGGTGCTTTCCTTTCCAGAGTCAGCAGCCTCCTCCCTACACACCATGCCCAGAGAGAGACCCTCAGCAGAAGGTAAATCCTTGCCATAGTCAGCTGGAGGAGACCTCTGGTTTCCATGTGCTTTTCTGTTTCAGTAATAAGTACTTTGCTGCGCCCAGTGCCATTAGGAGGTTCATTAGTATCTGCCAATGTTTTCTCACATTCATTGTGACGATTTAACAGGGAAATCATCCTTGCTTGGGCCTCTGAGGCTCTCTGCGTTTCTACAAACACTATGAATTAACACTTGCCAGAGTTCTAATTATCAAGCACACATGGAGACCCTCTCTGGCACAAATGACAGCTGAATATCCTCCTTTAGGATGTGAAAAGTTTTGCCAAAAACTTTAGGGTGCATGACCAAACATGGACACCTCAGCTGCCACAAGGTTGCAGCTCACTGGGGCATTTGGCATGCTTTGCAAGTGTGATAAAACTGAAAACAAATGCTTAAAATAGAGTTTGAGATTTAATTAGGAAGGAAAAAAGGCCCTCAGATGACAGTGGTATATTCTCTATCATTTGTGTGACTCAATAAAAAATAAAGGCAATTTAAGAAAGACAGTGGAGCTGCAGCTTATTGGAGCTCATGGTACAGAATTGACGGCAAACACATGGGAAGATGTGACAATACACACACATTAGTAAGCAAGTAGGACATAACAAGGATTGGGTCACATCCAACTCCAATTGCATGTTATTGGTTTCCTTAAGCAAACCTTAGAAGAGGTTACTGCTTCAAGGACAACCATCATTAGATGTTAAAAACACTCTCACTATGTAATTTTTGCATTTTGTAGAGAAATGTAATTATCTGAATAGCTTCTTCATTCATTGTCAGTTGGAAATGGAAAATTTATCTATTGAAATTACCTGGTCTATTAAATCACTAGCCATGCCTATGTGATATATCTGCCACCTGGCCACAAGAACAGTGACAGTATTGAAGTACTTCCCTCAAAGATCAACAGCTCAATAATTGCAAAAATGCTCCAGAACTGCTTGTGTCCTCTATACGCCCCTGAACACCAAATTGTTGCAGCTATTGGCAGAACTTTTGAACAGAAGATCTGAATCAGATGGAAAGAGGGTAAAAGTTTGTCAGACCCAGGTAGTTCTCATGAATCATGTCACTGAAGTGATGAAAACACCTCATTGACAAGTGTAACCTGGGCTGCTGCATGAAATGCAAGTAAATAAAGAGCATCTATGTCAGGACTATGTCCACTTCTTTTTGTTAATATTAAGTTTACTCAAAAATATCCTGAAAAAATATCTGTGCATCTGCAACAACAATAAAATATATTTGCTAGGCATCTTGATACCAATTTATAGCAGCATGGTTTTCTTAAGACCATCACAAAAATACAAAGTAAATTATTTTAAAATGTGTTTAAATCTATGTCTAGGAGCACAAATTGCTTCAAAACGTATCTGCCAGCCCATTTGGATAAATAAAGGGAATTTTTTTCTGTTAACCATTCTGAGCATCTTAAAATGAGTTTCATTTCTTCTGAAAGTTTGAGTCAAGGGAAACTGATTTTGGATTATTTGGCAGAAACTAGATTTCTCTGCAGTACTTGAGGGTTCTTTTGTCTGCCAGGACTGATTTACCAAGTACTTCATTCTTTTTCTTGTCTCTAGTATCTTTACATTACCAGAAAGCATCACGATATGGAGGTTCTGTGTGCTAATATCTACCCAATATTATTTTCTGCAGACAATCCTTAATAGGAAGATAAAATCTGGATGGTGATGAACAATATAAACAAATATTATTACTGTGCTGAATAAATCATTAACACAGCACTTTTCTCATGCCCCCCCTTCCACAGTCCTTATAGTACTTACCATGACTGCATTAAAATTTATATAGTTGTATATTTTACTGCATAAAACCTTGAATGGTGTTAAAATAGTAACTTCATTACAGAGAAAGTGGTGTCCGTGAAGGTTAATGGCTTATACTGAAAGCCAATAACAAATGTCTTTCCTTAATGAAATGCTTAGTTTAGATCATATTTGTCATACTGTGCTTATGCACTAATCTGCCAAGCAGATTGTATAAAACAGACTCACGACCCATTCATAAAGTAAAACATAAAGGAGCAAATACACTCTGGTATTTTCAATCTGAATTTAAACTAATGAGGTCTCATTTCAGTGAAAAAAAACCAAAGCAAAACAAAAAAAACCAAAAAACTAAAAAAACCCAACCCACCTGAATGAGAATATAGAAACTTTGTCTACCATTTATACATTCAGCCACAATCAAGAAATTAGAGACTGCACGGAGATCAAAAGATTTTACTGTTCAAGGAACCCAACACTATTTTCTACAACTTTCACGTCACTCCTCCCCATCCCCCATACTGAGTTATATACGACCCCTAATAGCTAGGTCTAATTTTATGAGGAGCATTTCTGAAAGCTGGAAGAGCTTTCTCTGGAAAGAAGCCATCTGTTTGAAGTGCTCAGCTCCAAGATCTGAAATGCTTCCCAGTGTTTTTTCGCTTCCCAGATGTAGCGCAAGTTCCAAATATCTAAGCA